CTGGTACTGAAGTCTGCTGTGCGCACTGCTTCCCCCGGAGCCAGATCTTCCCGTCCCTGGCAGAAGTGTGTCTGCACGGCCGTGTGCGAGAGTGTGCCTTGCCTGGCGGCCCGGGACCAGGGCAGCTCTGCCCCTCCCCCCCACCCCTGGCGCTCACGCAGGCGCTGTTCTCTGGGCTGCCTGAGGTGCGCTCTGCAGCCTCTCTCAGCCTCTGAGGACACTGCCCGGCAGTGGCCTGGAGTCACCCCCAGTGGGGACAATCCCACTTCTGTTCCTGGCCCTGCCATCCCTGCAGTTGGAACAAGCGGCTCCGTTTCATGCTGGGACCCGTCTACCCTTGTTGCCATGCTTCTCTCACTGGTTTATGTAGGAACTGCTGGGGTCCTGGTTGCCAGGTCGGCCAGTGTGCGTGTGTGCGTGTGTGTGTCGGGGGAAGGTCTCGGGCATCTGTAGACACACACACACACATCCCGGGTGAGGACCCCAGCTGGAGAGGCCTCGCCATCAGGCCAGGAGCACATACCTGCCTGCGGGTTGTCGGAGCCAGGTCCCGGAAGCTGGCCAGGGATGTGGCTGGCTGCAGGGGCCAGCCTGGGGCTGACTCCCATGCTTCTGGTGGAGCCAGGGAAGTGGCTTACGGTTTACAGGGGGAAGGTGACTGTGCCGAGTCATGGGTCAGCTGCTGTGGCACGTGGCTGAGACTGGGGTGCAGGCTGGGTAAGGGGGTGCTAGAACCCCCCTCTTGTTACTAAGCAGGGTTTGACCCTCCACCTGCCCAGGTCTCCCAGGTAAGGCCTGGGTGCCCTCACTTGAGGAATTAGAAGTGAAGAGTACCCTTCCTCAGCTCTGTGATACAAAGTTGAAATCCCACCCCGAACCAATGCTACCGACACAGACAGGATGTGGACTCAGCCGCTGATAGCTGAGTGTGTGGGCACCACGAGACTGCCGTGTAAGAATCTTAGGTGTTCCACACCGTCCTTTCATTTCCTGGGAGGATACCATAACTACTTAAAAAAATCATTAGTTTTACTAATAATTCTATAATTCCAGACATAAATAATATGAGCATTTTTAGTGGCACTGGGGATGCACCCAGAGGGCAGGCCCCTGCCACCCACGTGGGACCCAGAGGACCTTCTGCGCTCCTGGCTGCTTCCACCTGACCCAGCCTTGGCCTCGGAGTCCAGCTAGTAACTGGATAAGTGTCCCAAAAACGTCGCATGTGACTTGCCTTTATGTGAGCGCAAGGTTGTTCAGAAAAAAGCTGGATCTGAGCAGAGTGACATTTGGACTGGCCATCTGTGGTCTGTTCTTGACCTTGACACTCAAGTGACCTTGAGACGGGAAAGGGGGGACTTTACAAACCACGGACTCAGTGGGTGTGGCCCCGGCTGACCCCTGTGACAACCAGTTGAGAACACAGATTTGCCTGTGTGGTAGCAGAGTCTGGTCACACGTGGATAGCCAAGCAGACCAGCTCGGGGCTGGGAGCTGAGCCCCGGCTCCTCTGGGTGTCCTGAGGGCGAGAGCTGCACGGCTCATGCGCAGGGATGGCAGGGTGGTCCCCGGCAGGCAGCGGGGCCAGGTGCCAGGCTGGGCGAGAGCTGCATGGCTCATGCGCAGGGATGGCAGGGTGGTCCCCGGCAGGCAGCAGTGCCCAGGTGCCAGGCTGGGCGAGAGCTGCACGGCTCATGCGCAGGGATGGCAGGGTGGTCCCCGGCAGGCAGCAGTGCCAGGTGCCAGGCTGGGCATTTTCGGCTCCCAAGTGGATTTAGTCTCTCCCATTGCCAGAAGTGCTCCTGAGTGAGAGATGTGTTGTCTTCGCTGAGGTAGCCACTCTGCTCTGAAAGCCTTTGTAGAAAATGGAGTTGAGAGCCAAAAGGCTTCTGGGGGATCCCACGGCGGCTGACTGGCGGGCCAGCCTGCTCATTCCGCGTGGCGCGTGTCCTTCGCTTGCCGGCACACTCACTGTGGCGGGTGCGTGGATGAGGTGGCTCACTGCACTTTTCTGCCTACTCCTCCTAAGTGTACTTTTTTTCTCCAATGCAGGAGAAAGTTCAAGTACCATTTCTTTCTCAGAATTTCAGCCTGGTTTGTTATCTCGTCCCTCCTTACTGGAGCGTTCCCCTCCCCCACCCCCGTTAGTGTGTTTTGCCCTTAATAAGGTAAGGAGATACTGAACTATCAGCTTTGTTTTTCTAGGAATTTCTGCTGCAGCTGAAAAAAAAAAAAAGTTGGTGTGGCCCTTCTCCTGCGCGTTTAACTCACATGGTCTGAAGGGGCTCTTTCATTGGGATCTGCTGCTAATTATAGGAAACAAGTTGAAGGGGCAGAGGGGGTCACCTTGTCACATATGTCACTCAGAACCAGTGTTAGGGGGTCTTTCCTGCCTAGGGGGGATTGCTCCAGCTTGGTGGCATGTTACCACCATGAGACACGGGGCAGCCCAAGTACAGAGCCCTCGGGAGATTCTTGGGGTGGAGGCGGGGGTCCATCAGGCTTTCCATGGTGCAGGAGAACCAGGGCCCATGTGGACAGAGCCCCCCGGAGCCAGGGGAGTGCAGCAAGATCGCCAAGCCAAGCGCCGGTGTGGACTCAGGAATGGGGGTTTTGCACCACCGCCCCAGCCCCAGGGCTGGCTTGCTGAGGCAGATCAGCCTCACCCACGCCAGGAGCTTACAGGAGCCCCGTTAGTCACACGGGGCCCAGAGCCCATGCCCTCCGAAAGGCTTAGAGTGGGCTCTTTCTGTGTGGGAGAGCACAGGTGATGGGGCAGTGCCCATGACCGCCTGAGGGAGAGTGGGCCACGCTCGGGTGGGAGCTAGGGCTGCTGTCCAGGAAGGGCCCAGGGCGGGTACTGGGGGTGGGGAACCTCAGGTATCCTGGAGCCTGCTGCCTGACAGAGAGAGGGATGTGTGTGTGGTGGGCATGGTGTGTGTGTGTGTATGGTGGGCATGGTGTGTGAGTGTGTGGTGTGTGTGTGTGGTGTGTGTGTGTGTGTGTGTCACCTCCCCCCACTCCTCCCTTGCCCACTGCCTGCCCAGCCCACATCACCGTGTCACATATTCTGTGAGGAAATGTCCCCACCTGTTACATTGATTGCGTCTCCAGTTCTGGGGTGGAGAGAGGGAGTGGAGCAAAGGGGTGGAACTGGAAGCAGTCTGGGATGCAGGCTTGCCCCCAGGGACTGCCGCCTACCCCGTCGTCCCGTTTCCCAGGGACAGCAGGAGGCCCTCCCAGGGTCTGCTCAGGCTGGTCTCACTGCTTTGCTTGACCAGCGTCGCGCTGTGAGGGGGTCTGCTCAGAGGCACACAGGGCAGGACAGGGCGTGTGGCTACCCAGGCGTGCCTCCTCCGCTGTGCAGCACCCCGGGTGGGCGTCCTGTTCCTGAGTTCTGGCAGACAGCAGTGTTTCCGGTGCCTCCCAGGGAAGTAGTGGGGTGGGACAGTAATGTTGAGGGTGGTGGCTGTCACCTGAGGCACACATCAGGACATCCAGCCTGGGCAGCACGGAGCCTGCCCAAGTGCCACCCACTCCAGTCCTCATGGCTCCCAATCTCTCCTGGGCCCCTTAGTGCCTCTCCCACGCCAGTTCTGTGGCCTCACTGGTGCACAGCAGCAGCCTCCTTGGGAGAGGCGGGTTTCTGATGCCCTTTTGGGCCGACAGCCTCTGACCTGCGCCTCCCATTGTCCGACGGCCTCTGTCCGGGCCTCCTGTTTTCCGACGGCCTGTCCCGGGCCTCCTGTTGTCTAACAGATGACAGTTAAGTTCCTGAAATGACCCCTTCATCCCCATGTTCTCTGGGCTATCCCTGTTGGAGTCCCCCTGCGTACAACCCGGGGACTCTCCAAGCTCTTCTTCCTGTGTGTATGTGAGCCTTGGGGTTGGCCTTCAGCTCTCAGACGCCTCCTGATAGGAGCCGAGCCCAGCAAGCCTGTGTGCCTGTGAGCTTGGGACTGTGTGTGTGATGAGCAGAGATGTCCCTGGAAAACCCCCGGGTGTCTGCAGCAGTAAGCTGGCAGCGCCGCTGTCCGCGGACCAGCGGCTGTCCTCCCTCCCGTGTGCCCTGGCTCGGTCGTCTTGTGTTCGTATGTGCTGTGTTCTGTCACTGTGTTTTCTGCTCTCGAGTCAGCCTCCTTCCCCATGTGAGGTCCTGCGCAGCTGGGGCTTGGGAAGCAGCACGGGGGGAAGGTGAATGCGAGTTGTTTCCTGGACTCCTTGCAGGAGTTCCTGGCCTGCACGATGCCCATGCTTGGTGGTAGCTGTCACACTACGCGCAGAGCAAAATCCCATGGCCTCTCCCACTGAGGCTCCCAGAAGCCTAGCCATCGGAGTTGGGTTTCACCATGGCAGATCCCGAAGCCCAGATGAGCGATATCACAGGCCACGCTGATTCATCAGCACAGGTGGCACCACTGACCGCCTGTGATTAGCTGCTCATTTGCATGGCACTGAGTTTAGTTGAAGTTTCCTTGCTTAGCTGTTTTTGGGTATGAACTTAAGGTTGGCCGTTTGGACACCTTGAGCTAATGTTGGCGTAAAGGAAAGTGAACTTCGGTAGGAACCCAAGCATCTCGGTGTGATGTGGGGCAGCCATGGGAGCCTGCGAAACCAGGACCCGATTTAGGACGAAATGGTCGTTTTACCAAGTGCCTGGTGTGAGTGTGTGTGTGTTTCCATGAGACAGGCAGAGCTCCCATCTGCTGCTTCATCCCCAGCACGCCATACAGCCTGCGCTGGGCCCAGGAGTCCAGAGCTCCGTCTAGGTGTGCCAGGTCAATGGCAGGGATCCTGGAAGTGGCCAGCAGTGCACTGCCACCTCGCAGGGTGGGCAGGGACAGGAGGCTGGGCCCGGGAGTCAGACCTGGGCACCGTGGAGGAAAGATGGCATCCCCTGGAGTGGGAGCCAGGGCAGAGAACGGGTGGATGGTGCTGCCATCCGCTGAGCTGCTGGTGACCTCTGCTGGCTAACCACTGGCCCTTTTTGTGTTTTGCAGAGTGAAGGCTGCACAGCCAGACTGCAGCCAGCGTCTGCCTGACCGGAAGCCACTTCGCGTCCCCCTTTGGATCTGAGCAATGACCATGGTTGTAAGGGCTGTGGGCTGCGCTGGCCAGGAGCCGGCACATGGCGGGTATCACCTCATCATGCTGGTTGTTATTCTCATTATTATTATTATTTTAAGAAACAAAAGTGTGACATGAGCAGGAGGCGTGATTCTCCAAACACTTGCCTGTTCCCAGTGGCCCCTGAGCTAGGGCCAGCGTCTTCATTTCCTCTCTGCTGGTATTGACGAGGCTGAGGCGCGCATCCTTCAGCATGCTAGGAGATGCTCAGCCAACACCCAGGGGAGTGGTCAAAGCTGGTGTGGACCAGTGTCTTCTGAAAGCTACCACAGTCCTACCTCAGTTCCAGAAACAGCCTGAGCGGCGTGGCTCCCCAGCCAGGCACCTGCCACGTGGGACTGCCGCTGCCCCACGGGAGACCACGTCGGCATTGGGCCCTGCAGGAGGATCAGTAAGTGGCGGTTACCCTCCCCCGCCCCGGCCGTTGCCACTGCAGCAGCCGCTAGGGGAGGGAAGGGCCGCCCATCTCTGCCCTTGCTAGACTGGCTCGTATCTTCTCTGCGTGGCTGTGTTTCTGTAGGTCCCTTGATTGTAGACGCCTTTGATGCTGCCTGCGTGCTCACACGTCCCTGCCATGCGGGACCTGAGCCTTGCATTTCTCTAACAACAACAACAACAAAATCCACACAGGCGTGCTCGCCATTCGAGGGTGGCCAGGGTTGGGAGATTTCATTTAAGCAACAGCAGCAACAGCAGCAGATGTGTTCTCTTCAATGCTAGGGCGTGAGCCAGCACGGCTGCCCCCAAAACAGAACAACTAAAAAGGAAGGAAAAACTGGCGAAAAATATAAAAGACATTCCAGCCCTCACGTCAGTCACGGATAAAGAAGAAAAGAAATCTCATGGTACGTGTGGGCCGGTGGGGCCGGCTCTTGACTGGGCTAGCCTCGTCCCACAGCTCTTGACTGGGCTAGCCTCGTCCCACAGCTCTTGACTGGGCTAGCCTCATCCCACGTTGACTGGGCTAGCCTCGTCCCACGTTTATAATGTTTCTCAGCATCGCAGTGTTGTGGCCATGACCACAGATCTCACCCGGACCTGCTGGACCTGCCAGTGGAACATCTTGTCACCTTGCTGCTGCCTGGGCTCCCGTTGCCGAAGCACCTGTCACCTAGAGGTTACACTAACCCAGTGGAGGTGGAAGTTGTTGATTTGTTTTTTGAAAGTTGTGTTTTTTTGTTTTTTGTTTGTTTTTGGTTTGGTTTTGGTTTGGCTCTTGTTTTCATTTTGGAGATAAATATATATATATATATAAATAGAGAAATCTATATCACTATAGAATAATGCATTAATAAATTGAGGCTTTTGTAGAGGAAGACCAAAAAAAAATCCGATGTCTTAAAAATATCATTAGGAAAGGCAGTGCAGGAGCCTTCCTGCTCCCGTGCCGGACATCTGGGAGGGAAGACGGCATTGCCCGACGAAGCTGAATGTCACGGGGTGAGCCTGCACACCCAAGGCTTTGCTCTCCTGCTAGACGAAGACTGAGTGCAGTGCGTGGCTCTCTGCGAAGACGCACTGACAGTCCTCAGGTTTCTGCTCAGTTAGGGGACTGTGACTCGGGGGAGGGTTCTGCTGCCCCCCCCGCTCCCTGCCCCAGGGACCCCCAGGACCGCCCCGGGTGCATCTTTCATTTCCCTGTGTACCAAGCGTAGCCGTGACACTATACAAACGGTTCACGTTCATCCCGTAACTTAAAGCAGGACGCGAAAGTGTTAAGATACTAAATTCTCTATCCTGTACATTTCAAAAAAGAGAGAGAAAGGCATATGCAATATTTACATTTTTAATTTAGTTTACAGAATGGAACCAAAATGTATAAATGTTATGTTTGCTAAAACTTCACAATGTATATTGGGTCTTTGTACATTTTGCCTGACTGACCTTAAATTTAAAATATTTTTTGCTATATAAACTTTAACAGTTATTAAAGCAGTGTTTTCTTTTTTGGGTACGTATCATTTCTGGGTATCAAGATGTTAAATATATTTCTTGCTATTGTGATATGACAAGAGACTTCACTTATCTTGCTCTGTCTTCCACTGTACACGCTGTATATAGGGCCAGAGACAGAATAAAGCGGACTGTCCTAACGCACTGTGTGTACTTTGTTGCTCGTGGACGCCTGCTTAGCAGCCATACACAATACACAAACGCATTATTTATCAGACGAACACAGCCGCGAGGGGCTTCATCCCGTGCAGGTTCTTCCAGGAAGCCAATGTGTCTTGCAAGTTGTGGTGTGAGTCACACCAGGCACCTGCAATTGCTCCAACAATCTTTCCATGTCCTCACATACATTTCTGGGGAAAAACCAGTCTCCCTGTGGTGTGTGTAATTTTGCAGAACCCAGCAGCCTCAGGCTGGGCCTCTACGTGCTTCCAACATGGCGGGCCAGATCTACGCTCCTTCTCTATTTCACACCCCATTAAGCAGAGTGGGCTGCATGCCAACCCCATGTTCCTCTTTGTGACACCACTGGGGAAGTCAGGAGAGGGTGAGTTGGCAGTCAGCCCTGGAGTGCTCTAGAAAGACATCCAAGTGGGCCCACTGTGACAGCCTAGTGGCTAAATCCTCACCTTGCAAGCGCCACGTCTCACATGGGCGCCAGTTGGTACCTCGGCTGCTCCACTTCCCGTCCAGCTCCCTGCTTGTGGTCTGGGAGAACAGTAGAGGACGGCCCAAAGCCTTGGGACCCTGCACCCATGTGGGAGACCAGAGGGGGATCCTGGCTCCTGGCTTTGGATCAGCACAGCTCTGGCTGTTGCAGCCATTTGGGGAGTGAACCAATGGATGGAAGACCTTCCTCTTTGTCTCTTTTCTCTGTATATCAGCCTTTCCAACAACAACAATAATAAAGCAAATGCATCTGGAGCCATGGTGTACAGACTAAGCCTCTGTCAGCAGCACCAGCATCTCATATGGGCTCCAGCTCATGTCCCTGCTGCTACACTCCTGGTCCAGGTCCCTGCTGAAGGGCTGTGAAAGCAACAGAAGCTGGCCCAAGGCCTTGGGACCCCGCACCCATGCGGTAGATCTGGAAAAGGCTCCTGGCTCCTGGCCTTGGATTGGCTCAGTTCCACTGCAGCCACTTGGGGAATGAACCAGCAGCTTGTTCTCCTGTTCTCTCTCTCTGAATTTGACTTTCAGATGAAAATTAAAAGAAAGAAAAATGAAACACTGGTGCAAAGCTGGCACAGCAGTCTTGCCGCCGTCCCTCCAGCAGCGACCACATGCTCCGGCCTGTGGGAGTAAAGGCCTCCACCTAGAGCTGGAGCAGCTGAGCTGAGCAGCTATGGTTCAGAAGGTGTCTGCTAGCCCGACAGCAGGTGCAGTGGACAGACGGCCAGCGCACAGCCATGACTGACCGTTCTCCTGCTGGATTGCTGGAGAGGAAATCCATAGTGGAAGGGGTTTTCCCAAGGCTTCTTCAGATCTGAGGCTCCAGTTCAGCTCCATTTAACTGCTCCATAAACTGTTACCTTGGGGAAGTGGGTAACAAACCTTTTAATTGTTTTTCCTTTATGTTGGAGGTCACGTCAGTAGGGAGACTTTACATGACTAACCTGCACCAAGGTGTGCTTGTAAGCTTAAAGTGGACAGTGAAACCATTTCTGTGTCCTTTTCTAGAAAATTCCAACTTCCAGTTTATATGAAGGTGGCCAAAAGGAAGTCTGGTAAACAGAAGCCAAGGTAGGCAGGCTGCCGCGAAGAGTGCCACCTGCTTCCCTTCCTCTTCGGGTTCAGGGAGAATGTGTGGACCCGCTGAGGATGCCGGGTCCGGGGTCTGCAGGTCATGGAGCAAACAAGCGGCTGACCCCATGGGTCTCCCCTCTCCTGGCGCGCGTGAGCACGGGAGTGCGACCGTGACCTTGGTGGCGCCAGTGAGAGTCAGGTGCATTAGAGTTCTCCTTAAAGAGTGAGGGAGCCAGGGCAGCAGGTGGCCAGCACAGCCTCGGTAGTACTGACTCACACCTGCCCTTCAGTGAGAGAGGGTGACACGTAGGCGACCTGGCGGAGTTCCAGGCTCCCGGCTCCAGCCGTTTGGGAGCGAGCAGCAGAAAGCTCTCCTCTCTCTAACTTTGCACTTCAAATAAATCAATGAATCTTTAAAAAGAAAAGAAAAAAAGCAAGTGTGTTTGCTGTTTCATCTCTTTGGAAAACCCAGGTGAGGTGTGACAGGCTGTTACACCTGCCATCGATGTACCAAACTGCTTGGAGGTCCCGCTCCGGCACACTGGGCCAGTCCCCACACCAACACCCACTGTCGGCTTTGCTTTGTAAATCTGGCGTAGTAAGAGATTTAGAGCAGTCACTTGTGACAGAACAATTGCAACAACAGAGTGGGCAGGACATAGGCTGGACCCATGTCCCGAGTTACTCATCACTGCTGGCTGGGGACAGTCCAGGTTTGGGCCTCAGGTCAGGAAAGCCGAGGCAGGAGGTCGCTGTGGGCACTGAGCATGCCCCACGGACCACAAGCCTTGGGGTTAAGGCAGGTCCTGGTCCAGGCCGTCTTGGAGGCAGGAGGGCAGACTGGTAGAAGGGAGAAGCGTGGGTGAGGAGAGGCCTCGTGGAAAAGGGGCTGCTTTCAAGAAGTCAGGGTCCTGTACACACTCACTCGCTCTCCCTCGGACCACCTCACCATCCCCTGTGATGCAAACTGGCCACTATTCCCTCTAATGGCAGCCAGACACTATCCTCTCTGACTCAGATCAGCCACTGCCCCTTCTCATGGGAACTGGTCACTGTCCCACTGTCCCAGGGCAGCAGGAAGGCTCTTGGCAAAGTTGTGGGGCAGAGGAGGAGCTAGGACCCTGCGTGTCTCCAAGAGTCACGCAGGCCCCATGTCTACGCAAAGTGTGACAGCTGGGCTCTGGGGAGAAGGCACCAGGAGGCACTAGCAGTCCCAGGCCTGCTGTCCACAGCGTGGTCACTCTCTTTCCGCCTCCTCGCACTGACCATGAGGTGCGTTAGCTGTGATGCAGGGGCAGGCTCCTGGCTCCTGGCTCCCGGCTCCAGGCTCTGCTACTGCTGCTGCTGCAGCTGCTGCTTTGTGGCCAGAAGGTCCAGCGTGGTTGGGTTGTGGGAGGGGGCTGAGGACGAGCCCGAGGAGAGCCTTCATCGCTGCCTGGCTGGCTGGAGATGGCTTGGCACTGCAGCTCCTTGGTGCCCTGACCCCACCAAGCGCCCATCAGCAACTCTGTTGGTCCTCACCCCCAGTCCCAGAGGAGGCTGCCCATCTCAGGCCCTATCCATAGAGCTGGCAGACACTCCCCTAAGTCTTCTTGATGGCAGAGAGCCCCTTAGTGGGCACAGTCCCCACCCAGAACCCCTCTCCTCCTGCTCCACCCAGCTTCCATACAGAGCAGTGTCACCCAACACAACACCCAGCTAAACTGGTGAGAGGCCAGCCAGGGTCTCCTCTTCAGTGTCCATCCTTCCTGGCCCTGAGCCACTCACTTCTCCCATCACTATCACTTCTACTTGGGTACACAGCAGCCTCCGAGGGCGTCTGCCCAGCACTGGCACCCTGCCCTCCCTAGGCAGGAAAGCAATGCTCTCCTGCACCCTTCAGTGCCCATCTGGGTCAGCAGCACCACAGAAGGTGTCCACAGAGCCTGCAAGTATATCTAAGAATGGGGCGGCTGCCCGAGCTCGCGTCTCTGCCCTTCGCATAGGAGCCTTCCTGTGGGCCAGGTGCCAGCACGGCCAGCTTGCCCCGCTGGTTCCTTCTGCTTGCTGTCGCTGGTGTCCAGGGCTGCCGCCTGTTCAACCTGCCCCTTGGGGATCAGGGGATCATGGTTGCCCTGACAGCAGGAAGCACCATGGAAGCCAACTGAACTAAAAGTGCACGGGTTCTTGGACACAGGGTCTGAGAGGAGGAGTGGAGTAAGTAGGGGGTCGCTGGTTAAGGAAGGACCACAGGGGGTTAAGCCACTGCCTGTGACACAGGTGTGTGTGCAGTTGTTGGTCCTTGTTGCTGTTCTACGATCCTGCTCCCTGATGATGTGCCTGAGAAAGCAGCAGAAGTTGGCCCAACAGCTGTCTTTCTTGTCCTCTCCTGCAGCTGCAGGGGCATGGAAACAAGGCTGGTCCCCCTGCAGCTCTGCGTCTATCTCACTGACCCTGAGCCCATGACTGACTTTGGCTTAACGGAAGACCAGGCTCCTTGGCTGACATTACAGGGCAGTCTGCTTGTAGAGGAATAAGAGGAGACACCACCTGCTGATTCTCAGCCTTGTGGGTACTGGGTACAGGCGATGTGTCCTGAGTGTTGGCCACCTGGTATCCTGTGGCATGAGGGCCACCTCTTGCACCTGTCCCTTCTCCTTGGTCAGCTTGGGGTCTGCACCCTTTCCCATCTCCCTTCCCTGGTTTCCCAATCCTATGGGGAGCTCACAGGGTGTGCCCCTGAGCCAGGCAGACAGGTGTTTTGTGGACAATTGCTGCTCCACAGCCCTGTACTTGCATGCCTGCCCCAGAAGGGCAAACACTGGCCTGCTCAGTCCAGGCTGTTCTATCTCAGTGTGCAGCATGTGCTCCACTGCTCGCTGGGCCGCCAGGTCTTTGCTGTTTTCCTGGTTTCTGCATGGTGTCTTTGAGGTTGCTGTGTACCTGCTGGGGTGAGGCCATGACTCAAGGCCCAGCCTGGGGGAATGTGAGGGTTCCCTCCAACACTGAGCAAGCAGGGCTTGTCCAGGGTCCCTGGACTCAGGACCACATGGGGCGCTGGGGAAGTGTGGGACAGTCAGCTGTGGGTGGGGGCAAAGCAGCTGCTGGAACAGCACACTGCTTGGACAACTCCCATGCCTGGAGGCCGGGAGCCACTTCCTGCTGGAGAGTGCCAGGAGCATATGCCCCCTCCTTGGGCTCCTGTGCTGGCTGTTTCCCAAATCCAGTTAGGCCTCCTGCCCCAGAAGCCATCCCTCTGCCACTACCCCTGGCCAGGAGTGTTGCCCCAGCCCGTGGTTTCCCTTGCCATCCCCTGTACATGCCAGAGCTGTCTCTCTCCTTTCTCAAGGGCATGTTGGTGGAAGCGCAAACTCAAGGGTTGGAGGGCTGCTGCGGAGTGTTCCCCTCCGGCTATGGACAGG